AGAAAGAGATTATAACAGTTGCTGAAGAAAAGAATAATGAAAAGGAAATTTTGTTGTATTCCTGCTGTTTGACATGAATTTTGTTAGAATAGTAGGCCTGTAGGCTATAGTATCTTAAAGAGGAAAACTGAGAGTGAAAAAGAGAGAGAGAGAGAGAGAGAGAGAGAGAGAGAGAGAGAGAGAGAGAGAGAGGAGAGAGAGTGAGGGACGAGAGTGAGAAAAATAAAAAGAGAACTAGAGAGAGGGATTGAGAGGCTGAAAGATAGACAGAGAGCACACATTTATAAAAGAGTTGAGAAAACCTTTGCACTTATAATTGTTCAAGCTCAAGAGAACCTTTGTAAAATGAATGCAGAATTTCTTAAAATTCAACATGTCACTTAAATCAAGAAGAATAGAATGAAAGCATGAGAAAGTGGGACTCATATTTTTAAAGTGAACAAATCCCAAGACACATATCTAAAGATGTTCACTTTCTTGAAACAGTGCACAAATGAAAAACTTCCTTTACTTTGATAGAAACCTAAAAAAGATAGTAAGTTAGATCTTTGAACAACATATTCGCTTGTCAAAAAAAGACGGCTCTCAACTTTTTTTTAGCATTATACAGAAGAAGGGGGCTTGAGAACAAGTTATAAAATTTAAGTAACTTTGAGATTAAGGTCATGGCCATATGAGCCTAGTATATTTTGATTTATTAGATCAGGATTCGAAATGTGTGGTTCAATTTCAATCAATTATAAGATACATTTCTCCCTTTTCAAAATACAGTGGAAGTCTGATTAAGCCGAAATCTGAAAACAGAGCCGAAAGAAAATGAAATCCTAATTTTTTTTCCTTTTATTTGATCCCTGCTCTCTCAGCAGAAAACGTGGCAAAACTGAAGAAAATCCGGTGGTCTTGCAGGTTGCAGGTTTTGATTTTTAAAGCAGAATCCACTCCACTGCATATAGATTCTACTCTTGTTGATTCAACTTAAATTTAATATCAACGTATTTATATATTATAGTTACACACACTACACACCGTATCAAAATGAAAGTAAGATATCATTAACCTTTTAGAAAAAAAGAAAAAAAACTCAAGAAAAGTATAGACCAAGAGGCTACATAAATAACTAGATCTAGAATCTAGATCAAAAGTTCACCTGCAGATCCAATGCACTGCTCTTCAAAACTGCCATCAGCGCGGGTGTTCGCCATTGTTTGAGCTTGTTTGTAAGTTTAGCCTGTTTGTTTCAACTAAACTAATAAAATAAACTACAAAAAGCCAAAATTAGTGGCTTAAAAGCGCCCTTATAACGACATCAATTCTCACAGATAGATCTATATATAGATCTGGACACAAACATTATTGGTCAATGAGAAACTGACCGGCTGTTTTTTTACTGGGTTTATAGGCTAGGCCTAACTTAGATGTTTAGGCCTAATGATAGCCTAGCCTAGGCTAGTTCTTTTTGTTAGGCTACAGAAGCAGTTTTCGACAACTTCCCTCTTCCGCCATAATAGCGTCTCCGTTTCCATGTGGGGATGCTTTGTTTTGTAACGGCCCAGTGTCAAATCAAAATAAATATATGATTATAATTGTATCAGATAGTACATTTTGTACTAAATTATTATTTGTTTTCAAGAGAATATATACTGTTGCACGTATTGAGTCCATCAGAATGTATAAATAAGTTTTAATACAATTCTTTTTGCTTTCAAACAACAAATTCTCCCACTTGGATTTTCAACATGGCGGAGTAAGTAGGCCTACTCATGTTGTCAAAAAGAAAACCTAACATTTTTTAAATTGGCCAAAGCAGTTTTGTTGTCGTGACAGTGAGCTAATTTTTGTTTAATTTATATCAGTCCTTGTGACTGTCGTTGGTAGTCCCTGAATGGTAATTTCCATTTAAAAATCGGCACCCGACGACCCCGAATCACAAGTCACAAGTGACAAATTTAACTCGTATCATGCAAGCCTTTACACGGAGTACTGGCTTTAATGCTTTAAACTCTGACTCTGACGAGATTTGTAAATTTTGTAAAATTACCTGTTCGACGCTCTCGTCTTAGTCTTTTAACTTATCAGTGAATATTCAAAATTTTATCAAATTTCAATTTCTAATGAATGGAGTGGCACATGTATTCATCTATAAATGTAGGCTACTTCAAGAATAAATTTAGATATCTGCTTTCAGTTCGCAACCGCAAAGGATTCAACAATTTTACACACCCACCCACCGGCGAAGGGTGTTTCTTCAGACGAACCTTCTTTTACCCTGGTCCTGTGGGGGCTGGGTTTATGTGGCCCAATAAGCCTAGCCTATTTCGACACCTTGCCTTCATTCCGGTCCCGTGTCGGTCTGGCCCCTGGCTTAGCGACGCGCACCGAGCATCATCCCCGTTCCGCTCGGGTCCCGCTTGGGACCCGCATTCATCAGGGCAAAAAATTGTCCACCTAAAGGTGGAATTCTGCTCAATGCAACACTGCCGTCCACTCATCCGAACGGCTCTTCCGTCTTTTTTCCGAGTTTCGTGTTAATAATATTGTACTTAAAAAAACGAATTAAATAAAAGACAATAATTTTAAAAGTTTTTTTAACTGCTAGCTAGACGAAACCAAAGATAATATACATAACAAGATGGTCTACTCAGCCAAAAAAGTGTCCGCCAGAAGTCCGCTCTTTGCTTCAGATGGCGCTGCAGTCTGTCTTGAAGCTCTCTTTCGTTTCTACAGAAGAAGAATAGAAATATAGCACCTCCTTGCGTGCGCAGATCGACTGCTGTTCATCAGCTGTTCGGGTTCATTCAGTGTGGAGTTTTAGGTTGTTTTTTTCTAATGACCTCTCGCCTTTCATTCTAAAGTCAAACGAAGAAAACAGTCACCCCTTCCTCCGGAGGAGGTTTTTTGTCTGCGTCACCATTTTAAAAAAGCGTTCTTCCGAAATTTGAATTCTTATTTAATTCAAAAACTTGTTAGTTTCACTTTGATTTTTTTCTCTCAAGTAGGGTAACTCTGTTTGCAAAGGGTGCGCATTTGTGAAGAGGGCGCCACCAAATTTGAGGACACTTTTTTAATTGGCTCAAAAGAGAGGAGTGGACCCTCTTGTTATATATGTAGACTCTTTGACGAAACCGAGGTGCGTTCGCATCCGTGTGTCGGCCGATACCATTCAATTGAGTACTTTTTATTCTTCTTCATGACTGGTAGAACCGCATTCAGTATTAATCGAGTACCGGTAGTTACGTGAACTGTGGTGACTTTGGCCCTCACTTACAACCCAGTAACCTATTTTTTTTCAGTCTTGTCTGCAAATAAATCATTAAAATCATTAAAACACTGAAAATGGCCTTTCAAAGATGTGTAAACCCTGAGAATAATTTGTTTTTTCATCTCAAGAATGGTGTATTTACAATTTGTATACATTGTTTATATTTTCTTTTTGACAGTATTTGGGTAATTATTATTATAAATTTTTCTCAAAAATTAAGGTAACAAATAAGACCTGTTAAACCCTTCCAAAATAACGAGAGCTATTTTTTATGCCTCATAGAAAGCTATGAAAGATAGAGCGTTCTTTTCATCTTCTACTAACACATTTCCACGGTATTCACGGCGAAAACACACGTTTCCAGTGCTGCTTGCTGTACACCAACAGTGCATGCTGAGTGACCTCGGCGGCTCGCTGGGAATGTCCGGTGTAATAGGTTTTTGATAAGATTTGTATCTCGGCACAAGACGCAGGAGTGAACTTCTAAGTGGCGGGCTGGTGAAACACGAAACGAAAAACGCCACGAAAGTGGCAAGCTGTATTCAAAGAGATAATATGACTTCCATGTAGTGCCTGCAAGGGGCAGGGGGGAATTGTTGTGATTTCAGTTCTAGTGACTACTAGTATGAGGACCTGTCTCATGCTTGTCAAGGCCATCCCAAGGGCTAAGTTTCTGTTTCTAAGATTTTCTCGTCATAGTCATCCAGACATTATTAAACCTCCCAGTGCCCTAAATATTAATAAAATTATTAATTATTTGGTTCATTTAGATTTTAGTTTATAATGCATGTCAATGTCCTCACAGCTGTAGGGGCTTTTAAGTCGATGTACAAAGAACAATTTTAACCCTATCCGTACGTTATGTTTTACTATCGTATTCATACGATGTGGGGATCTCTGTGCCACCACTTTCCAAAGAGGAAATTTACTCGTTCCGATCCGTACGTTTTGCATAGCAGTCTGTCAATATGAATTTTTGAGAAATACTGAAAGTTTCAAAGAGATCTTCGTACTAGAAGTATTCTTAAATGTAAAGAATACAACCCCGGGGGTACCAAATTACCCCCAGGGCGTACGGTTAGCTTGTAGAGCATTGCAGTAATTGATATAAACAGGAGGACAGATGACACAAAGTTTTCAATGAACATTAATTCAAAATCATCTGAAACATACCCAGTTCTGCACAATTCGTAAAAAATAAGATGTCACATAACTAATTGATGTGATGTTCCATTGACAATTTTAATTTTGAATCAAAATGCACTCCCAATTTTTTAGCCTTTGTTCTCTGTAAGATATAGATAGTTTTTCATTTTCAGTACGAAATTAAATCAAACAAAGCAGTCAAACAATTTAGAATATTATCATTTATTATAATGTCGCTTTTATAGCAAAATTTAATTGAGTATGAGGCCACATACATGTAAACTTGACTTGACTGGAATTATAATCATAATTATTTATTGTAGTAGTCTATTAAATTTACATGGCTTTGGCTTTTGTCCATTGATATCTTATTTTGTCTTCTCAATTTCACTTTATCAGCCTACAAGAGAGGAAACTTAAAGATGCCCAAATGAGAGCCACGATCAACCAAAAGCTGGTTGAGACAGGAGAAAGAGAAAGGTATTTTTTAGAGCTGAGAATTGTTGAATTCAAACAACCATATTATTATAATGAAGCGTGCAGACAAAATGAGTTGCTTCTCAGATTCAAGCCCGGAAATAGATACGTCACGCAAGGTGAAGTTTTTACAATTGATAAGTATAAAATATTAAAAGACAGGTTATAGTTAAAGAATATGGCATCAATTTTAAAAATCTACAAATTTGACCCTATTGTAATTGTAGATTTTTGGCCAATATCTCCGTTTGTGCATTGCCGCTTGCGAGAAGTAACTCATTAAATTATAAATGTCAGCACGCCTCACATATATATATCTTATGATGTATTGCTTTTTTTTTTGGTTGTTCTTTTAGTAAATATTGTTTACCATTCTAATCTATATATATTAATATGTATGAAAAGTTGTTTCAACAATGTACTGTTTGTAGATAAGACACAAAAGTATCCAATGCACTGTTGTAAGAACTTTAAATGGGACTTGGTGAAGAGAGTTTTTTAAATGCTTTTTTGTTCTGTTTTGTGTGGCTGTGCTACAAGAGAATGTCTACTGCAGAGAACAGGTTGGCCTTGTCATAGCTTTAAATATATACCACTCTGCATTTTCTTTAAGGTGTCATCTTTATTTAGAAATTGATTTAGTTGTATTTTTTCGTGTTTTTTCTATGTATACAGATTGAAAGAACTCCTAAGGGCTCGTCTTATTGAATGTGGATGGAGAGATCAGTTGAAGGCCTATTGCAAAGGTTTGTTTATGTTGTGTAACCTTCAAGAACAATTTAGTTCTCTTCTAAAGTAAATTGTACAAATACAATCATGTTTGGAGAAAATGTTTTATTTCATGTGCTTGAAATCGTGATTTGGGTGCTGCATTAGCATTTGTCTGCCTTTGTGCGCAAAAATCATAGTTTAACTCATTGAGTGAGGACAATTATCTCTTCTATGATTTTTTCAGAAATCATTGACTGAGAACAGTTATTGCAAGTGTGTGATTCTAAATTGTAGGTTGCCCATATAATACGGGGTGAATTTCTGACATGCTGGAGGGGGCTCAACATGCTTTATCAAATTCTAGTCTGGCATCAAATATAGTTGGTACCAGAAACTTAATTTCCAAAGTAGCTGTACATCAAATTTATGTATTTCATATGAAAGACCTATCTTTCTTGAGAATTTTGATACTATTCTTTTACCCCTCAGTCAGTTTTTAGAAAAATTAAATGGCAGAAGTTTTAATATCATCTATTATATTGCAAAATTCACCAACTGGCTGCAGCTCCATGTTTGTCAGATAATAAAACAGTAACAAGTGCACCAAACAGCGACACATTGACAGGACAATCACAGTACATAAATATATGGAGCCTGATTTTTTTTTCAAAACTTGAGTGTGAGATTATTGCAAATCAATATTCTAGTGCCTCAAACATGATGACTTGTTGTTATTTCAATAAAAGCTCGGAGCCCTGTCCTGCCGCTGTCGCACCGGTCCCCGCTGCAGTGGGTGTGGCTCTATATTGTAGTGTACTTTGGTGCTCCCCATATTGGGGTCATATACTTTTGGAGTTTTTTGGACGAATCGATGCAAAATAATTCCAAGCTGATTGCTCGGTTCTAATAAATAATGAACTTATCTTTCTATTGATGCCATTTTTTAGCAGGTATTTTTGGGGTGTCAGTTTAGAATCGGCCAACCTTGTATTCCAACCGCAAGAGGATTTGCTTTCCACAGCGATTCTCCAGCTCTAGATACACAAACATACAAACAACTTACATCATTGTAACGAGGAAAACCTGAGATTTTTCATGGCATACAGCATTTGGTATTTAATAGCGACTGAGCAAGGAAACGGCGATCAAAGTACACCGGAAATAAAAATAAAATAAATTACACTTTTATTTGTCCCGGAAGGGCACTTTGGTTTACAATGGTAAAGATACATTTACATACATAAATACATAATTATAAATATGTACTTACATAAATACATACTTAAATACACAATATTACCCAAATACAGAGCAGTTTACAACCATGCCACTATCGGTCACCACTGCAGCACCTTGTATTTTGAGCTAGGGTTGTCGTGTCTTGCTTAAGGGCACACCCCAGTGACCACCCATCTGATCCCTGGTGAGTCTAAACTCACTACTCACTTAGCCACTGGAGCCCACATGGCCATGGCGTTAAGTTTAGAGCCAGCGGAACCAAACTTGCGAGCTTTGCTTCAAATCTGGGCTGAGTGGGCAAAGCATTTTCCGTCTTAGATAGGTGAAACCCACGGAAGGGAACAGATTTTTCTTTCCGTTTCCCCGTTGGACAGGTTTCTATTTTAAACAGGTAATTAGAGAGGAATATAATATGATGGGGGGAGCGGGGAGATTTTGTTACGACAGGTTTCCATTAAGGCAGGTTCGACCGTATTGTCTTTTCTCTAGTCATGACAGTCATAATCTTTTCCCTTGACGTTGGGAAGTTACTGCTATGTCACAGATAATAACACCGAAACTCTGTTATGCTGCCAACTACATGCTCATCCCTAGTTTGATGATATTACAGAGTTTGACTGTAACTAAGGTAATGTCTCTTACTCTTGAAATTAAAAATGTTTACTTTTACCACACGCAGTGTATCTTGTCAGAGCTCTTTGTGAGCTATGCTCTTTTTACCTTTTCATCCGTTACTTTAAAAATATGACTATAGTGTTGCAAGTCTGGAGTGAACTGCTTGTGAATATTTAATTCTTTGTCATATTTCAGAGATTGTCCAGCAGAAAGGCTTGGAGCACATTACTGTTGACGATTTGGTCAGTGAAATCACTCCTCGAGGCAGATGTAAGTCATAAAGTTCTTGCTGTAAAGAGTATAATTTATATTATTTTCAACAATTTCTCAGCTTGTGAAGAGGTGTGTTCCTGTCAATATGAAGAAAATCAACTCATGTATTTGAAAAATGTTAAGTTTTAGAAATTTCAACCAAAATATGTGTATTGTGTGTTGAAGAACAAATTTATATAACATTGACATTCCCTTTGCATGGTCCTGGGGTAGATTTTGCCACCACCATGTAGCTTGTGTTTAAACTGAATGGGTTAATAACTTTTTTTGGGTGATCTGATGTTGTGCTGATTTTATTTTTACTCTTTTTTAAAACTGTTATTGTTATTTGTAAAGAATATGTCACAATCTAATGTATTCTGTTTATATTTATATATGCTTTTTTACATTGACCTATGGTCATAGTCACAGTATTTTGAATGATTTGCAAGTTCTTTGCAGCCCTCTTACTTCTGTCCATCTGTCTTTTTCCCCCCTCTGCCGAATACTTATAGCCAATGTTGTGTCTGTGTGCTTCTTTTTTTTCAAAATTGAACTTTGCTCAGATCGATGATTTAATGTATAATATATTGGACTTTAATCAAGAGTAGTTTGGTTTGAAATGAAAGGCATTTTCGTTTCTTTGATTCCGAAGAAATGCTGGAAAATTCCAGGAAAATACACTGAACTCTACCAAGCACACACTACAAAAGGGCTAATGTGTGTTTTTGGTGGGAAAGTAGGCCGCTGATTGGTCGCATGAGGCAGTTAACCCTGTAAGCGGCTTCGTTGAATCCTAGCTTGCTCATTTATATGTTCGTTGAATCCGAGTTATTTTTATTGATTTTTATTAATAAATATAGGTACCCGAAACTAAATTTTCAAAGTAGCTGTATGCCAAATTTATCTGTTCCATTTGAAAGGCCTTTATCCACTGAGCATTTTGGTACTATTCTTTAACAGCTCAGTCAATTTTTAAGAAAATGGTAGTTGCTTAAAATTTGATCAAACTGGTTAAAGTCAGTCACTGGCTGCAACCCCATGTTTGACAGATAATAAAAGAGTACCAAGTGCACTAAACATCTCCACATTAATAGAGTACAATCCCGTTAACATATTTGGGTGACCTTATTTAGGCCACATATGGCCTAAATAAGCTAAACCCCCCTCCCTTACCTTATTTAGGCCACAGGTGGCCCAAATAAGCTAAACCCCCCTCCCTTACTTTATTTAGGCC